CCTAAAGCCAGGAGTAAATCTCCTCTGTTGATCAAAATCCTGCTCTTGCCTTTAGCTTTGTATCATTTAGGGTTTACTATTGGCAGATACCAGCAAATTTTTCTTACTGTGCTGTGCTTCACAAGTAACTAGCTGTAAGTAGGTCATTCCCAGCTCCATTCTGAAGCATGGAGTCAGTACAGCATCCCTCAGAAATTGGAAGTTTTATTTTGTTATTTTTTAGTAAGGATGTTAAATTTGTGCCTGTAACTGAGGTGGACAATGCTTTCCTACAGATTTCTACACTACAGTTCACTGAACTCATTTTACAGGACACTGTACAGAATATATTTGATGTACCTAGATATTTTTGGCATCAGTAAGAATTAATCAATTCTATTTTAGCTTTTATACTTTTAATAGCCAATGCAAAAAAATACAAAAATACTTTTAAAAGAAAACTATCTGAAACTCTATTATTTGCTGAGTGTCCATATATAGACACAGTGACAGAGCACTGGGACAGGCTGCCCAGAGAGGTTGTGGAGTCTCCAACTCTGGAGATGTTCAAAACCCGCCTGGACACTTTCCTGTGCAACCTGCTGCAGGGAACCTCTTTGGCAGGGGGGTTGGACCAGATGATCTCCTGAGGTCCCTACCATTCTGTGATTCTGTGATATGCCTCTATATATAGATTCATTACAGCTCAGTATGTCTGCCTTTTATATGCCTTCCTTTCCAAGCCAAAAAGAAAGCTTCCTGAGAAATGTTTAAGGTTCAGAGCCTGCAATTCCAGCACAGTGATAAAAATATCAGGAAATTCTTTGGTAAGTTTCCCCCTAACTGTTGTCAAGTACATCGACATTTTTCTCACTATACACACTGCTGTTCTCTCCGCTTCCTTGGGGAATGTACAATCTTTAGTTCAGTTCCTGTTTGTCTCCTGACCAGAAAGGAAGATGCTTTCAGACTGTGCACTGATGAATGGTTAGGGTGCTGTGCTTGGTGGTTATTGTGGCAGCCATTGACTTCTGTGCCTGTTCTGCCTACTCTGCATGGCTAACATAGGCACTCTGTTACTTAAATAGGGGTAATTTTAATAGGAAGTGACTGTATTTGGAAATTGTAATGTCTGTAAACCTAACTGATAAGATGAGGGAATATGGTGAGACTGTCTATAAAATCAGTGACTGTCTATAAAATAATTCTACTCAAGTAAAACTTAGGAGAGAAGAAGCTTTATATACTTCACTTTTTCATAAAGTTTTATAAAAGTAGAATCCTCTTCCAGGGAGGGATCACTATGCCAAATTTGGAGTTTGTTCGGTAACAGAAGCTTGACATTTAAGGATTATAGCCCTTTAAATCTGAACACAACCTCAAGTATGCAAGCATACATCTGAAAAACAGCCCTTGTTCATGATAGCCTCTAATACTTGCTCACCATCATAACAGCATCTCATAAAGTGGATTTATCATGTTCCCTTAACCTCAGTGCACTCTCAATTTATGCATTAGATCACTCCCACCATTTCGAGTGCTTGAATAGTTACACCAATGAAAAGTGTCATCATGTTTGCTAATCTAAATGAAACTGAATTAATTTTCCTTTCCTAACTACCATATGTGGATGTTTCTCACAAGGACCCTTTACCCCAGCTTTTATTAAATCTTCAGAAAGAATCAGGTCAAAGCTATTACATAGACCTGCAGATCTAAAATGAAAAGCATTAATGCTTTATAATGCTCCTCTCCTTGACTTCCACAAAGGAACAAAACACTTATATCTTGTCATGAAAATAAACGTTATATCGGGGCTAAGAACCTAAGAGACTGGGTTTTTTTAATAAGTATCACGGCAATTTCAGCTGATTTAAATAGCAGTTAACTTTCAGAGATACAATTTCACTTTTTATCAGTTTGTGTGGGTGAAGTCATGACATTTAAGACCACCTCCCTTTTAACAAAATGCCATGAAATCATTCATGAATAATGCATAAAATCTTTATGCCATACCAGTCTTATTTGCAGGAAATAAAATTAGAGCACAATGTGCAGTAAACTATAACCAGAGGAGTCCTGCTGTGCTGCAGACATAATCACAGGCATAATGTGGGAGAGTACTGAGCACAGCATGTGTGTGCAGTTTCCAGAAGGTTCAAAAGAACCTCTGCAGCAGAAGGGTCTGAGGCACAGCGCATTCCTGGCAGCGGGCAGAGCTGCAGCAGGCAGCATATGGGAAAAGACAGAAATTGGCCATCTGGAAGCAGGGTGTCGCACAGGCCAGGGGATGCAGTGGTAATTATAAGCACTGCTTTCTCTCTCTTTTTCAGCCAAACTGAGCATTTTAGGGAATTTAGACTGAAGTCTAAAATTAACTGTAGAGTCGCACAGGCCAGGGGATGCAGTGGTAATGTAATTATAATCACTGCTTTCTCTCTCTTTTTCAGCCAGACTGAGCATTTTAGGGAATTTAGACTGAAGTCTAAAATTAACTGTGAAACACTCATAGTGTAATACAGACACAAAACAATGAATAATGGTTTTTTCATTTTGCTTTTTAAATAAACTGAGTGCAGTAAACTTCAGTTACATTTACTTTGCCTAGTAGTTGCCCCAAGTCAGACACCTTTCTCTAAACGTATTTGTTTTACAAATTTACTTGTAGTCTATTATAACTATTGTTCAAACTCATAATCAAAAGAAAGGTAAACATTACTGTTCTTGTAGAGTAAAAAAGGCATAGCATGACATGCCATGTTCGGCTTCCCCTGATTCTACAGCATCAGGACTCTGAAGACCTGCTCTACTTGCTCAGTCCTGGTCTTTATTAGCATTAGGGGCAAATTTATCCCTTTGTGAGGAGCTTCCAAATTAGGTTAGAAAAGTCATCCAGTGGCAAGACATGACCAAGCACATCCTAGTAGATAATTGGTTCAACTTTTTCAATTGCTGGTGAGATACAGGGCTCTGCAGGCACTTCAGCTCTTAGCTATCTATCCCTGTAGACTTCAGGTAGACAATTTGAACCAATTATTAGATTCTTTGAGATTTTCTATAGAAAATTCTGTGGCCATGAGAGACAGTAATTACCTTGACAGATTTTTGAAATGCAAGGAAATGGTCATTTATTTTGCTTGTGATCTTCATTTTATTATTATCTGGTGGAAATTACTACAATGTCCTTTCTACAAAGGAACTGTGACTGAGTGCTGCTATTGTAGGCCCATCCTAAATATGTGTTCCATTCCCCTATAGACATAAGGAAAAAAAACAACCAACCAAAAACCAACGCCCCCCCCCCCCCCCAAAAAACAACAACTCCAAAACCCACAAAAACACACAAACACCCCTGTACATTCCATAGCCACATTGGTATAGTTTAGCAGCAATCTCATCTAACAGCAAGCAGGAAGAAAAAAATAATTACATAACCAAGCCATACTAGAGATGGAGTCAAGAGGTTAAACCTTACACTGTCATTCTCCTTTTAGAGAAGTTTTGTGAGAGAAACAATGCCAATTTTTGCTGTATTACTTACTCTAACAGGGTTTATCTGAGTAGAGCAACAGAACTGAGAACAAGACTGATGTATGTACTATACTTCTCAGACTTCAGAAGAAATCAAACTATTTGAATGCAAAAGTATCCTGATAAAAGCTGGAAGTGCATATGGACTTGTATATAATAACAGCCTGCTACAATAGGCTGTGGATTTAAAAGCCTGAAAAAAACCCCAAAACAAACCAACAACCCAAAAACTAAAGACAGGCTTTTCTTCACCAAAACCAAGAACTGGGGCTTGGTGTTCCATATACCACATCTCTAAGTGAAGACCGAGTATAAGACACTTAGTAACATTATGGATTGTCCTCTATTTTAAATGTTATATCCTAATATATTGCTCATCCATTAAGGTAAGACCACCACAAAGCACTGAAACATTAAAGATTGTACAGTGCTTCTATTACATGCTTTATAAAAGCAGGCATTTAACATAGAATCACATCCTAATCTGCAATCTTTGGCTGCAAGGCAAGAGGTTTAGGTACCTAGATTACAACAATTAAAAATGCAGGAGGAATGATCTACCTTTGTTCTACTGCTGCTGCGAGAGCCATTATGTGTGAACTGCTTTCTGACTGGCTTCCTGTTTCAGGCTGTGGTGATCAGCTTTGGCAATGGCACACTGCTCTGGGGCTTCCCACCTACCTAACGGGGTTAAATGAAATGCTGTTAAGGAACAGTTAATATGTGGCTTAGTGCAACTGTCTAAAATTGTAGCATACATCACATTTTTTATTTTAAAACTGATGGATACGGTCTTCCATGGGAGAATACAGCACTTTAGAAGAATTAATTAGAAGTCTAGCAGTTAGATAATTAGCTGTTATTTAACTGCATTTGAAAGTAAGCCATACCACAGCAAAGTTCTGATTTGCCCAAATAATCATTCTGAACAGATAACAAGCCAAGAATACAGCTCAGCTCTGCTTTCTTGGTTCTGTCATTTAACTAGTTCCTCCCACAAAAGTCCTGACTACAAAAAGTAGCAGCTACAGTGCAAGTGAACTTGCAAGAAGCAAATTTGCGTTTCCTTACAAGAGCTCCTGAAACAAAGGGATGATGTTAGTGGCTGCCCTGCTCAACAGTTTAGTTTATCTGGTCTGGAACTGCAGCACTCCACCGAGGATGCTGTGTGAGGCTTTCCAGCTCTGTGCCGTCTGTCTGAGCTGGGCTGCTTTGCATGAGACTAACAAACTGCCCACCTAGGCACCATGCAAGCCAGACCTTCACCTAGGATAACGTAACATCACTGTGCTGCCTGCCCTCAGTGGTATGCTTAGGTATACTCACAAAGGATTAATTTAGTATCTTCCCCCCCACCACCACTTAAGTGCACTTAAATTTGTTCCTGAAAAGCCAAATAAAACATGGCTTCTCAGCAAAACAAAATCAACAGAAAGGTGCACTTCTGTCACTTGGAAATAGTGTGAACTGCATGTTCATACAAAAAAGGCTTAACTGCAGGAAGTAATTTTATTGTTGAAATAAACTACTTATTTACAGAGATAGTTACTTTACAGTTTTACAAAGGAAACATAGTTCTTCTCAGAATAAAGTATCAAAACAGTGACAGATTTAGCACTGTCTAAATGCAGTTTATTCCAAAAAGAAATCTACAGCAATGATTAAACTAAATCATACCAATCACATAATAGAATGCTGTCCCTTGCAACTACAATGGTATAAAAAGACTTTTTATCAGTTATGATCTAGTGGATTAAGCATCTGCTATACTTCTTTCTTCTTGAGTATTAGTGGACCTACATTATCTCCTGTTAATTCATTGTGCTTGTTGTGGGAGCCATCACAGACAGGGAACTGGAAGAAAACATACATGAGGAATTAGTATAACTCTGTACAGCAACTGCATGGCGATTTTTATACTTCCTCCTATGCTAAGAGCACTTTGATGTTGCTAGTTCCTCATACTATGTCCTTTTTCAACAAACTCCCTGTCTCCTATCAGACACATATTACTAAGGAGTATAAATCACTGCTAACAGGTAACCAAGTTTGTGAGGTCCTAAAATAGCTGTTCTGAGACATAAAGTTAGGGACAAAGCCTTTTCCGTGAAAGAACAGCAAGCAAACCAGCCATTGCAGCCACAAATGGTATAAGATTTATTGTAGAACTAGTAAAAGTGCTCTTAATAGATTTAATAATTTGCAAATAGAAAGTACTGTTTTAAGGAAAGACAAGATACTTTGCTGAAGTGATTAGTCTGAAGGTAGAGTAGCTGAGAGGATTTCTTAGGTCCAGGGCAGATTTTTTTTTTGTTAAAACAGGAAAGCATTCAGTCCAGAGAGGAGACAAAACCAGAGTGCAGTTGGGACATTCAAAAGAAATTGAGGATAGATGAAAAATACCCATGTACATCTAGTTGATTTGAGGGATGCGGACTATCCAAATCAGTCATCTACTGGCTCCTCTGGACCAGATGGGGATATGCTCTCCTTCACCCACACAGGTCTAGCCTTACTTTCATTCTGACATGAACAACCTTCTGTTAGTCAGAGCTGCTTTCTGACTGGCTTTCTGTTTCAGTGCTGTGGTGATGAGCTTTGGCAATGGCACACTGCTCTGGGGCTTCCCACCTACCTAACAGGGGGTCCAATGAAATGCTGTTAAGGAACAGATGAAGTCTGGCTTAGTAAAATTGTCTAGAATTGTAGTATGCATCAAATTTTTATTTTTAAACTGAAGGACACAGTCTTTCTTTGGAGAATACAGCACTTTAGAAGAATTAATTAGAAGTCTAGCAGTTAGATAAATAGCAATTATTTACCTGCATCTGAAACTAGGCCATACCACAGCAAAGTTATGACTTGCCCAATAATCATTCTGAATGGGCTCAGCTCTGCTTTCTTGGTTCTGTCATCTAACTAATTCCTCCCACAGAAGTCCTCGCTACAAAAAGTAGCGGCTACAGTGCAAGTGAACTTGCAAGAAGCAAGTTTCTGCTTCCTTATGGTTTAGTTTATCTGGTCTAGAACTGTAGCACTCCACCTAGGAGTGGAGTGTATGAACCTTTCCAGCTCTGTGGGGTTTGTCTCAGCCAGGCTGCTTCTAATTAGTTGCAATATATTTCCAAATATTAAACAAGGCTTGCTTGGTTTTAATCGACTCACAGGTGGTCACTCTGTTAAGTGTTTCTAGAAAAACCCTACTGTGTTTCTTCCAAGTTTCTACAGTTTCTTTCTGCATGTAGATGGGTTTACAGTGGACAAAAGTAAGAACTGTGCCATTAACAGGAATGTGTTTCAACTCCAGAGAAAAGCAACAGATCAACATGTAGCAATTCACCACTGAAGCACTGATAAGAATGTGCAAGTTTCAATCTCTAATCCTACAGTAGCACAATGTGTCTTACCGTCTTAGAACGCCAACACCTGCAGTAGGCTTTAGTGAGGCACAGATCTTCAATGTTTATTTCATTCACTACTTTTGGATTTTCCTTCTGGATCTTGAGGTTAATCAAGCTATCCTTTTGCTGCTTCTTCTTGGGGAGGAACGGACGGACAGCGAGGTAACCAAGCAAGGCCAGCACGCCCAGGAAAGGCAGTAACCGCAGCCATTCTGAAACTAAAGACAGGTGGGATTTAGATTGGCTCTTGACACCACTTCAGTGTGGTGCAGCATCAGCTACTCTCAAATGACTTAGGCTTAGGGTAGGGAATGGGGTTGCTCAGTCAGCAAGGCTCTGAGGACAAACAAGACTCTCTGGGTGAGAGTTAAGAAAGAAGATACAGATTAAAACTTGGGTAAAAACCTGTCTCCTAGAATTTCATCTGAAGCTTAATTTTAACAGACTACAAGATGACTCAATGGAAAAGAATAAATCTAAAACAAATAAAAGATTTACTGAAGTGAGGAACCCTAAAATTACAGGGGTTCTGCTCACCTAAGGTAAACCAGCACTGTGTACTAGCAAACCAGGCGTGATTACAAGCAGTAAGTATATTTAATGCCAGTATTTTAACATTCTGTAAATGAAGAACTATTCAGTACATTTTATAATTAAATTTTTAATTGCTTATGTCAGGTTTTTAGCTTCTTAAAGTTTTCCTCATTTTATTTGTTCCAAGGATTTTTTTAGAAACTTTTGGTAGAAATTATACAGATTATTAGATAAGCACTAACAAAAGCTTCACCAATCTTTTTTGGTTTATTTTTTAGAGCTCTGTTTGCTCAAGGATCTGCAACCAGTTTCTACAATACACAGAGAAAGAAAGACCTGACATCAGGTAAGTCAAGCCACAAAAAAATTGCTGAGGAACTTTTTAAGTACAGGTAAGACAGTCAAATATCCTGTGCAGACTTAGCTGCTTTGCTACATCATTATAAATCTTCCAGACACACTGATGAGAGAAACTTGCTGGACTTTTTAAGAAATTCATCAGTACCTGGCATAAGATCTATATATATATTAAAGTGGATCCACTTTTCCAGCAAAACATGCTGTGACAATACTCCAGTGTAATTTACGTACCATGGTCCAACAAAGGACGCAGCATTTTTCTAAATTTCTGGAGAATATATTAAATCTAAACACTCATATAGAAATGGAAGAGAGTTTAAAAATAGTTTAAAATGAGAAACAAAGAAGTGTAATGAGCTGGAGCACAAACAGCTGCACAAGCACTTTGTAAGGCAAGACACTGTAATCAAGTTCCTCTTTTAAATGATTTAGGATTGAAACAGCAAAATTTTGTTCTACAGTTTGTTTTTCAAGATGAAGATGTACAACAAAGGAAATGCAGCAGAGCAGGCTAAGGATGCCACGTAGGTTGTAGCTCTCAGAAATTACGTTATTAGAATCATAGAATAGTTTGGGTGGGAAACACCCTTTAAAGGTCATCTAGTCCAATCCCCCTGCAGTAAGCACGGACATCTTCAACTCGATCAGGTTGCTCAGAGCCCCATCCAACCTGACCTTGAATGTCTCCATCTACCACCTCTCTGGGCAACTTGTTCCAGCGTTTCACCACCCTCATTGTAAAAAATTTCTTCCTCCTATCTAGTCTAAATCAATCTTCTTGTAGTTTAAAATCATTACCCCTTGTCCTATCGCATCAGGCCCTGCTAAAAAGCCTGTCCCCATCTTTCTTATAAGCCCCTGTAAAGTACTGAAAGGCAGCAATGAGGTCTCCCCAGAGCCTTCTCCAGGCTGAACAGCCCCAACTCTCTCAGCCTGTCCTCATAGGAGAGGTGCTCCAGCCCTCGGATCATTTTTGTGGCCCTCCTCTGGATCTGCTCCAACAGGTCCATATCTTTCCTGTGCTGAGGACTCCAGAGCTGGACACAGTACTCCAGGTGGGGGTGTCACTAGGGAAGAGTAGAGGGGCAGAATCACCTCCCTATATTCTATATAACTTGATTTTATTTGTAATTATAAAGCACACGTTCATGCTAATACTTTTCCAGTTAGAACACAGTGGCTTTTTCTTAATAATTTTAATTTTCCAGAAGTACACCATGTAATGAAAATACTTTTGGGGACTAGTCTTATGTTCTTTGAGCTTTCTATAGCCTTTGAAGTGGAAACCACACTTACTGCATTTATTAACTGTATAAATGCTAAAGACACTGCAAGAACTTTCAGTAGTCTTTCCACACCTGTACTTCCAGCAGTCCCTACGGACAACAATTGACAAAATTTGCTAAGAGTCACTGCAATAGACTAATCTCTGTTGCTCTTTTCTCAGCTCCCCCAACAAGCTGCAAGTCCTAAACATTAACAGTTAACACCAAGATACTTAAACATTTTCAGTTATGCAAAATACTCAGTCTCCTGGACAGCAGTGCCTGTTTGTCTTTTCTATCATTCCTGTTCTAGGACACCCTGTCACTAGGAACCCAAACGCACTTTCTGACCTTATGTGAAGGACTGACTTGAAACGTAATTTAGAAGAGAGAAAAAATATTCAGTCTCTGAAAAAAATTTCCAAATTGAGTATCTAACTGTTGGCAAAGAGGTGGATCTCTACAAAGTTCCTCTGAACTCCAAGACAGAACAGATGTTCCAACAGGTGAGCCATCACCAGAAGCAGGGCACCTATCAAGTGTGCGATTAATATAACTGGGATAAGATTGATACACAAAAAGGAAAAGCCTCACATTGGAATTAAGCATTGTTAAAAGAGACTGATAACTATAAACAGCAAGTGGCATCTCAATACAGCTTGAAACTCCCCGATACGACATGAAAATTGGAACAGTAATCATGTCTGTAGGAGAATCATAACCAGCTGGGTTCATCCAAATGAAACAGGAACATGATAGCTGTAACCTCCAAGAAAGGAAATTAGAAACAAACAGGAATAGGAAGTACAAGAATATTATTTATCACGGTTATTATTTAATATTTGTATCATGCTAACTGCTGATAGAGTTTTGTCCTCACTAGGTGATGATGATTTCTGTACAGGCATCAAATCTGGGAGTCTCTGGAAAGCTTCCAATTACACCAATGCATACACTAATCAAACTGACTTGTTATTGACAGAAGACTGACAGAAGCTCATACTTTTGGATTGAAAAGTCAATATCACCATGCTTCTAGGGTGTGACAGACAAGATACTGTCACAAAGTTAAAGGAAAAACCAGTAAAACTGTACAAGGTGCTTAAAGTTATGGCATTGGGTCAATGCAGCATGGTGAGGCTTTTCAAAAGGCAGTCATAGGATGCCACATCCTAGGCACCTAAAGTAGAAAATGGTCATCTCTTAGTGGTTGAAAGTTATTGAAAGTAACTGAAACTTCATTGCTCATTAAAGAGTCTTGTACGTACCTGCACTCAGAGCTGCTGTCAGTCTAAAGTTTGATACACAAAGGCACAGATCTTTGGATTGGGTGGACAGGGATGAGAGAAAAGCTTCACTCAAACTAATGCAGTGATACCTTCCTACACCTGTAAGCCGCTCAGGTTTTGAAGCCGTTCATACCTTTCTGAAGCAGATGTAAGGCAATTCACAAGACTGACTATTTTCACAGCTGGTAACTCAGAATTCAGCAATTACATTGATTCTGGAGATTCTTTATCAGTTCCGCTGCATAGGAAAAGGCAGTCTTTGGAGACAGAAATGGAAAGCAGAGTATCGAGGAGGTTAGTCTTCAAACTTGCCTTGTGTTAGACAGAGACCAATCCCAAAGGTAAGTCCTGGAAAGTATGAGGAACATCACTGAAACATGAATGCCCAGAGAATTCCAAGAAGCTGAAGCCACCAACCATAGGTCACAGTTACATTTTCAAGGAGAGGTTATCTTTAGTCCAACAGTAACAAGTCCAAAAAAAAAAATCAGAAACACATACACTGTGAACAGAAAGGAACTGGCCACCCACTGACAGTCACATCAGAGCAAGTGGTCCTTGCTTGTCTTTCAGCAACTGCTCCTTTGATATATTTTGCTTTGATTTATGTTTTACATATGTAATTTATGGGGAAATGCCCCTATGCAGACCCAAAAGCAGCTTCTTATAGCTCAGCTGCAAGCCAAAATTTGAACAAGTATTAGCTCCCAGTCAAAATGAAGATTGGAACTGTGATTGTATATTCTCTAATTAAATTCTTCATGCAAATTCAAATTACTTACTCAATTACATTCTTTTCAGAACTAATAAGCACTTCTAGCCTAATTGTTTTCTATTGTTTGCTTGAGTCTCTAAAGGGTTTTCTCATTGCTACACAAACTTAACACAGAGGACTCCACATACCACTTTAATGTCTAGTAGCTTATTCAGCAGGTCTGAAGGTAGAGAGGTGACAGTCCTTTTAGCGACACAGCACACGTCAAATACATTAAAAGCTAAAGCTATGGGTAGGGTAGCAAGCCACTCTGCAAATGACAAATTCATTGTTCTGAAGACTCTATTATCACAGTATCACCACTCTATCAGCACTGTAAAAGATGATCCCCAAAGCTGCCCTCTTCCTGCCTGGCAGCTTGTTACACTGAAGTCCCTCTTAACATGTAGTCCAAGCATAGGAGTCCACACAGGACTGTCATGTTTATGGAAAGAAGCCTAGCACCTGGATTCTTCCATAAACCTTGAAATTCTGGCCATGTGATACTTTGAGGTGAATGTCTGTACCATTTTAATGACATGAACCAGGATAAAAAGCAATGCCAGCATGAGACAACACTGTTCATTTCAGCAAACTTGAGAAGGGAAGGGTAAAGAAGCTATGACAAGAAACTGAAAGAGGTTTCTGAGCAGCATCAGCATGACAATTTAGATATCCACTTTCAAACCCAAGGTCAAACATTCCTCTCTACAAGCAAGCAGTTTTCCATTGTAATTTGGTGAGGTCATGACAGACAACGGGTGTCTCAAGACTTTTAATCAGCACACTATACAATATCCTACACAAAAGGATCCTCCCTGTACTTTTGGTCTGTTTTTTTCTACAACTGATGCACTACAGGAACTGTTCCAGATTTGGGTTCTGGCCTGCCTTTGCACACAAGGTCTATGCTAGCAAGTGTTTTATAGGACTAGTCCCTGACTAAGTTCAGTAGATGACACCAAAGGACAAATACAAATGCACTTTAAATGTTTTAAGATCAACATTATTTCTCACTTTCCAAAAAGCAGCAAAGAAAAATGCTTGACATGTTTGATATGTAATTTGCCAAAGAATATGCTCCTCTGTAACTTGTGGTCGTTGTAAACACAAAAGAGAATATTAATCTAATCTTCTCTATTGTCTAATAGTCTTTCATTAATGGAAACTCAATAGATACGACACTAAGTTGCTGCTGCAAAGTACCTCCCAGAATTGGGAATCCTCTGCTCTTGGAGGCTTATGACTTTAGGACAGGACAAAGACCACAACAACAATACAGAGAGGTGGCACTTGCTGAAGCAATCCGATTTTCACAGATGAAACTTCAGACTGACAGCAGCTCTGAGTGCAGGTACGTACACGACTCTTTAATGAGCAATGAAGTTTCAATTACTTCCAATAACTTTTAACCACTAAGAGATGACCACTTTCTACTTTAGGTGCCTCGGATGTGGCATCCTATGATTGCCTTTTGAAAAGCCTCACCATGCTGTATTGACCCAATGCCATAACTTTAAGCACCTTGTACAGTTTTGCTGTTTTTTCCTTCATTTTCATTCATATCCACCCTAAGAAAAAGACATGCAAGCGTGACAGCAGATATTAGTCTAGTCTAGCTGACTGTTAGAAAAAAAATTTTAAAGTGTAAAAATGAAATGTCTCTACAGCTATGTATTTTAATTATACCTCTGTTTCTCCTTTTCAGAGTGTTTAGCACAAGACCAGTGAAAGAAAATCACTAAGAACTAGAGGCAGTGAATGTGCTGAGGTATGCTCATTAAATCCTACCAGGTCTCAAAGCAACTTCTGACTCAGCTCCTTCTTTTACCTTTGCTTAATATTTTTGGGACTGACATTTCACATGTTGGGTCTCCACTTAAGGTTTCAGTTGTTTGCTTTTTGCCCTCCCACCAAATTCAAGGAAGTAATTGTGAATGGGGTCAGT